TTATAAGACAATTCTTCTAGAATGTCAAAATATGACTCGTCAAGCATATCGGTATCTTTTTTAAGTTTAGACCGTTTTTTTGTTCCTTTATATGAATCATTTCAGAAACATTTCTCTTCTGAAAATTAGATTCGGAATCTAAAATTTTTATGTCTTCCCAATTAAATGAGTGTTGGTAATTAAGAATATGTTCCAAGATGACCGAGTGCTTTGACGAATCTAACTTTATATTATTTACATGTTCTTTAACTCTCGTTTTAAGTTGTCTTTTAGTTTGGCCAACATATGTCGCATCGCAATCGCGACATGAGATCTTATAAATAACATTGGAATTAGTTAAAAATTGATTTTTATCTTTATAAACCTTGATAAATCAATTGAGTTTATTAAGACAACGATAACCTATGGTCATTTCTGTTTTTTTGATAGATGATGCGATTTTGTCAGAAATGCTATTCACATAAGGAATAACAAAGAAATTCTTTTTTTCATTATCTCCAGCTATTTCAGGAACATTAGTAATATTATTATCATTAGTCAAGATATTTAGTTTGGAAGTAATAAGATACTTAATTCTTAGATTAATAGTGGAGAAAATAAATTCTAAAGGGTAACCGTTGTTACGTAAAATAGTTATGATTGAATTTATATTCTTCTATAACTATAAGCAATTTATATTCTTTGATAGCGATAAAAAGCGTTAATAATAGATGGGAGTATATTAAGTCACAGACAAAAATTCCAAAAGAACAATTTATTAAATGTATAGAATTCGTTTTGTCATCTACATATTTTACATTTAACAATATAATTTATAAACAAATTTTCGGTACCCCCATGGGATCACCATTATCGCCCATAATAGCTGATTCACATCCAGAATTTCATAAGAAGAATATAAATTCAATCATAACTATTTTACGTAACAACGGTTACCCTTTAGAATTTATTTTCTCCACTATTAATCTAAGAATTAAGTATCTTATTACTTCCAAACTAAATATCTTGACTAATGATAATAATATTACTAATGTTCCTGAAATAGCTGGAGATAATGAAAAAAAGAATTTCTTTGTTATTCCTTATGTGAATAGCATTTCTGACAAAATCGCATCATCTATCAAAAAAACAGAAATGACCATAGGTTATCGTTGTCTTAATAAACTCAATTGATTTATCAAGGTTTATAAAGATAAAAATCAATTTTTAACTAATTCCAATGTTATTTATAAGATCTCATGTCGCGATTGCGATGCGACATATGTTGGCCAAACTAAAAGACAACTTAAAACGAGAGTTAAAGAACATGTAAATAATATAAAGTTAGATTCGTCAAAGCACTCGGTCATCTTGGAACATATTCTTAATTACCAACACTCATTTAATTGGGAAGACATAAAAATTTTAGATTCCGAATCTAATTTTCAGAAGAGAAATGTTTCTGAAATGATTCATATAAAGGAACAAAAAAACGGTCTAAACTTAAAAAAAGATACCGATATGCTTGACGAGTCATATTTTGACATTCTAGAAGAATTGTCTTATAAATAAATAGTAATAATAATAGGAGTCACGGTTTGAATTCGACACATCATATTGTGACTCTGTATAATGAACACATTGACTTGGCGGAATCTTGACTACTCATCAATTTAAGTAAGCACTTTTAATCATAATCAAGATTTTACATATAAAAAATAACTTATTAATATAAATTAATATACCAAAAAAAATAAAAATATACTTAGACAAACACGGTGAAATATAGTTGAATGATGAACTTACCCGGAAATATGCTTGATGATGGGGACTAACTTTTTGATGCTGGATAACATCTAATTGTTTCAATTCTCATATCAAGCGGTTCTGACGATATTTTCAACTAATAATGTTCAAAAGGATTGATGACGTGGAATGGACTGTCAACTTGTTCTACTAACAACAGTGAGCTCGTTTACATGTTTTTTGACATAATTAAAAGTTTACCATCTTAGTTAAAAATGGTTAGCCGATTAGAAACAATATCTATTTTAATAAATGATATAAGCGTAACACAATATAAATTTAATGACTCATCAAACCAAAGGTTCATTAAAAAATAGGCTCTAATGCGTAATATTTCATAATTTTATTTAAAAGAATTTTTTATTGTTTTTTTATATCTACTGAAGAAGGCTGAGGTAACAGCCGAAACGTTTATTTTTTATTATTATCATTGTATTTACTAAGAAATAAAGTAATTATGTGTTGACATTACATCTCTCACTAATTTAATATACTCGTTATAGTTGGCCCTGTTCTTTCTAAATCTTAATTTTATATTTTCTACACCTTAAAAAGTCGTTTTCTGCATGACTATCGCAATGTTGTAAGTTTTACGTTTCTTCGCCTTCGGTCCGTTTGCGTTCGTATCCTCCGCAGTTTTAGAAGAAAGATTTTTTGTTCGTTTTCACGATACGTTATTAGTATGACTCTAGCACCATATGTGATAGTGAAATTTATAATTATCTTGTTAAAGATAATCGAGCTCAAATTAATTTTATCACCGTTTAAGTAGTTCGACATTGTTTCCATGTTTTTTTGAAATTTTTGCCACGATTCCATGTCAAAGCAAATCCCTGCAGCTCCGTGAGATGTTAATTTAACAGCAGGCAGAAAATCCAGTTCGACGTTGTCTTCCGCCGTAAGACTCATTTGAATTTTCTTCGTGTAGGATGAATTCAATCCGTATGTTGTTGACAGCAACATGCGCGGTTGCTGCTCGATTTTCTTAAGATTGTTTATGGTAGTTGCTACCGCGTAGAAAATCAAAGATTTAATAATCAAAGACGCGGTAAAATCGAAAAATCGAGAACTTTTTACTAACAAACTTTTCTACTAACTAACTATCTTTTTACTAACAAACTTGAAATTCCGGACGATGAAAGACGAGAGAGCGAAGATTTTCAAGAAAATTTATAAGAAAAAAGATAAAATAGAAAAGTGGTAGGGAGAAAATGCATGCGCAGATAAATAAAAATGAGGAAGGGGAATTTTTTAAACAATATAAATGATATAATTTTTAATGTGAAAGGGGAATTTTTTAAACAATAAAGCGATAGGGAAAAAATGCATGCGTAGTATAGTAAAAATTATGTGGGAGGGGAATTTTTTAAACAATATAAACAATATAATTTTTAATGTGGAAGGGGAATTTTTCAAACAATATAAATGATATAATTTTTAAATCTGACTACAGAGAAAATATAAAATTTTTATCGCTATCGAGAAAAGATACCTGTAAATTCCTCATCTTGATTCCCATAAACTCGTATAAATACGGCTCTCGGAGTTAAGTTAGCTAGTTATATTTTTGAATTTCGTCTCTCGCGTACTCACGTATTCGACGCAAGTGCACTATTAAATTTCAATAATGAGTTTGAAAAAAGTAATTTAAATTTGTCTATCACTAGCGCAGAGTTTAAGCGGGAAAAATTTTTCCAAGCATACAGGGTTAGTCCGGAAAGTAATGCGTCGCATTTTTTTTGTGACGCGACTATACATCGCAGAGCGATGGGACCGGTTGGGGAGGAAGGGGGGTACCCTTAGCTTTCCAACGGTAGGTCGCTCAATTGTTTCCATGCGCTTGGAGGGTTAGGACGGCTTATTCTGTGAACCTCTACTTAGTGGTCGCGTCGAACTTGTGATGGAGAGAACGATAGAGCAACGCTATGCGATAAAGTTTAGCGTGAAGCTGGACAAGACGCCGCTGGAAACTTTTGAAATGCTCAAGAAAGTTTGGCCCCGGCGGACTTTTTTTATTTCCTCGGCTGAAAAGGGAGCTCAAAGGACAACAGCTCGAGTCGGTTGACAACGTACAAGCTACTTCGACGGCCTCCCTGAACAGCATCCCAGTCAAGGAGTTCCAGAAATCTTATGACGCATGGAAATCGCGTTGGCAAAAATGTATTGACGCAGAAGGGTCATACTTCGAACAATTTTAAGTTGTTTTACCTATGTGATCAGTAAATTCTTTTTTAAAAAAATGCGACGCATTACTTTCCGGACAACCCCCGTATATATGAATTAGCATGCGCGAGTGAAGAGAAATGCTTCAATATTTTTGGAAAATTCGCGGGGGAATGTCCCAGCGCTGTGCTAGCGGTATTATTCCGACTAGGACATTTTAGTGTTTTTCGCGAATTACTGATTATCGCGGGTGAGGTGATCGAGTCGCGATACTATTTCGGTGATGAAAAGGAAAACAATACAGCAGGCCACATAGAATATCTCCTACATTTTCATCGAGTTCTGCGGGGAGAAGATAATAATGGTGAGTTTTTATTTTTATTACACTTAATTATAAATAAATAAATTAAAACTACTCTAATTATTTATTTATTTAAATGGCTAAAACTTTAGCTATCGTACGTTCTGTCGCACGCGTTACAAGAAACCGGTTGCGTGTACTGGAGAATCGCCCCGTATCACTAAGATTAAGGTTAAATAGAAGACGACGAGCGGATTCTTCGCCAGAGCCCGGACCTTCGCGTAAGTTTTTAACATCATAAATTATATCGCGCTGCTAGAAAACATTATATTAAACAAGAAATTTTTTAATAAAAATGTTATACGTTCCAGGCCGTGCACGCATCGTGTTAACGCCGGAGCTGGAGCATCCGGTTATTGATTTAACCGAAAGTGACAATGACGTGGAAGAAGCGCGGGTTCGCGAAGTAAGTCCGTTCGATGAGGCGGCCATATTTACTCCGATTGAAAGTAAGTAAGAAAAATACTACAGTGGTATATATCAACACAAAAGATTTTTTAATTATGTGAAATACTAATAATATATGACTGATGAATATTAGATGACGTGGCTAATGAAAACGTGGTCGTAGAGGAGCGAGAACAGGAAGAGGAAATCGACGAAAAAATAAACTCGATTTCGGAAGATGAAAAGGAGGTGGAGAAGGGGGTGGAGGAGGAGGAGGAGGAAGAGGAAGATAAAGAGTTAGAAGAAGAAATAGAGCAAACGGAAGATGAAAAAGAAGAAGAAGCGGGAGATGAAAATAACGCCGCGTTTTCTGAAGAAAAAGAAGAACAAGAAGAAAATAGCGGGGTGATGGCTGAGGAAGGTAATAATTGCATATTTTATACTTAATCTTCTCCTACGTTTAAATTTTTTGTTTATTTTAATTAAATAAAATTTTATTAGGAATTTCTTTCTCTCCTAACATCGTTCCCGAAGTTTCATATTTACCGGAGTATTAACCCTCGCAGGGTGATACAAATGGCCCGATAAAAGAATATTAAAACGTGAGTGAACTTAACATAATTATTAATAACAACAATTTCACATTATTAATAAAAATTCAAACGTAAGAGAGTAATATTTTATTAAATATTTTATTTTGTTAATATAATTTTTTATTTCTCACAGTACAGAGTGGCGAAGGAACGTCGAAATACACCAAGGAGAAGATTTTCAAACCCGCTCCGGTGAGGAAACTTCTGACGATGTCAAAGAGCGACATTTAGCTGGTGTACAAGAGGAAGAAGAAGAAGAAGAAGCGGAGGAAGAAATAGCGAATCAAGAGGCTGATGGTAATTTTAGATATAATAATGTTAGCGGAAAACGTGCGTCGGTTTAGAACTTTTGGTGTAGAAGGACGGGAAATTAGTTTTCGTATTCGGCCGATACCCGAAGGAGCAAACGCGTATGAGTGATTAGAAAATGCGTTTCGCGAACTTCACGAGTACGCGTTGCATTCGTGCGAACCGAGGGATTACGTCGGTATGTCTTTCGATTCCGCAAGTTTAACCCGCGGCTCCGCAGGTATATCGTTCCGACCTTTGCGAGATTTGACTTACAAAAATATTTGGGAACTCGTAAGCTCGTTAGCGCAAAGCTGCGGAGGACACGATATAGCGCAAGAATTTAACATTCGCGTTTTTAAAGTCACCCCTCCCATTGGTCGCGGACGTAACGGGCTTACGCCCGATGTTATTGCTAAACGCTCGATTTTAACAATTTCCAATACCGATAATTTATGTCTTCCTTGCGCGCTTGTATCAGCTCTAATTTTTAACAAGCGTGGAAATTTACGCACGGGAGAGTTACACGCGAAATGGAATGCGATGAGAAGACAAAACTTGGTGTTACAGCGCAAGTTAGCGTTGCAACTTACGAGGAATGCCGGTGTCACGATTCCGGAGAAAGGGAGTGGAATTGTTGAAATCGAGCGTTTTCAGCAATATCTCGCAAGCGAAAATGTCGCGATAATAATATATAACGACGATACTTTTGGTCGAGGCGGTAATCCGCTATTCGATGGAAACGTATTTCTAACCACTCTGCAGCGAAAAATAAAAACCTGTCTAAATCTATTATACCGTTCAAATAATAAACATTTCGATGTAATTTTAAATTTAAATGCAGCAGCAGGCGAGTGGGAATATTGCATCCCGTGTAATTTAAGTTACCGCTCCGATGCGAGAGAGCATCGATGCTCTAATAAATGTCCGTGATGTAACGGAGAGCCGCCATGTGAGCAATCATTTGCGGATCGTATTAGGTGTGATAATAGTAGACGTGAATTTTTCAATCATGCCTGCTTGGAGCGTCATCGCACGGCAAAATCATACGATGATAAATCACGTCGGAGTGTTTGTGAAATTATGCGATTTTGCGAAGATTGCGAACGTTTGATTCAAAAAAATAAACAACACAAATGTGACACGACTTATTGCGCTACGTGTCGTTCTCTTCAACCTTTAAATCACTTTTGTTACATGCTTCCCCTTCGTCGGCATGGCGATAATCGTCCCGATCCGCGCGCTTTCGAACACGCGGATGGAAATAGCGAGCAACAACAGCATCAGCGGAGAAACGACGACGATGACGACGAAGGTTCGATTAATCAGACTCGCGAACGCGTAGAAAGCCGGGTCGCATTCGTGTTTTATGACTTTGAGACGAGGTAAGACGAAACGCTCCAAGGCACAAATGTAAAAATTCACGTATCTACGCTCTGCGTCGCTCAACAAATTTGCGAGGAGTGTGCAGAAATAGATGAAATGTCGGTGCGATGTCATTGGTGCGGTATTCGCGAATTTATATTACGTCGCAACCCCGTGCAAGAATTTGTAGATTTCGTAACGCGGCCGACGAAATATTTTAAACAAATAATTTGCATCGCATAACGCAAAGTCATTTGACGCGCAATTTATTTTGAAATATATCGTGGAAAACCATGTCTTAGAGCCTCGAGTCATTTTAAACGGTACGAAAATAGTTGTATTAACGCTAGGTCATACGAAATTTATCGATATTATCAATTACATGCCGATGCGTTTATCCAAATTACCCAAAGCTTTTGGACTGGCAGAAGGTACGAATAAAGGCATTTTTCCACATTTATTCAATACTATCGATAATCAGTCTTATGTTGGAGCGTTACCCGGTGTTTAATATTATTCACCCGATTCTATGCAGATGAAAAAACGCGAAAAATTTCTCGCGTGGCACTTATTTGTCCGACGTGTCCGATGCTCGATTCGAGAGAATTTTATTTTATTACGTCGAGTGGCAAAATGCCTATCAACAACTGCAATACGACGAAAATGAAAGAGAAGAGAAGAGTAGCGTAAAAAAAAAGAATGTATATGCAAATAACGTTCCGATAAACTTGAACAAAAATATAATCGAATTTCACGAGTTTACCGCGCCCGGAAGATTATTCTTACGATCCACTCACCCCGAAATTAGTGATAATCGACGATCTTATGAGAGAGTCGTCATCGTGCAATGTTATCGTAGATCTGTTTACTAAAGGAAGCCATCATAAGAATCTCAGTGTTATTCTCATTTCGCAAAATCTCTTCCATCAGGGACGCGGACAACGCGACATATCTCTCAATGCGAATTACATAGTAGTTTTCAAAAATCTACGCGATCGTGCGCAAATTCGGTATTTAGCGCGTCAAGTATATCCGGACGATCCTAAGTTTATGGAAGAAGCGTACTACGATGCTACCTCAAGCCTCACGGGTATTTATTGCTTGGTTGAAAACAATCGACTCCAGATGAATATTGATTTCGGACGTGTATCTTTTCCAACGATAAGCTGCATTACGCGTACATTCTACGTAGATCGATCAAAAGAGGCGGAGGCGTATAAAAGACTCGTATTCACACACGACTTGTCACTCGTGCAATTACACTGCGATGGTAAAAAAAAAAAATCGCAATCGGCATCATCGTCGTCAAAGAATTCATCCGTCGGGGCGGTAAAAATTGCTAGACGATCTATTGGCGAAAGAAACACGAGTCTTTTGAAAACTTTATGTTATCTGAAAAAAAATCAAAGAACAGCGTTTTTACGTACCGTCAATAATAATCTCATAAAGTGTATTCAAGAGTGCGTTTTCAATACTCTTAAAGGTAACGTACCGCTTGCAAGTAGTGAAAAAAACGCTTTGCTAGACATAAATCGATCCTACGGCGTATTGCTGCGAAAAAAGGTAATTTGAAAGTTAAGAGAAAACTATTGATACAACGCGGCGGATTTTTACCCTATCTTATTGCTCCTATACTCGAAGCTATATTATCCCGGATCATTGGAGATTAATAAAGGGGCGCTATTCTGTGTATATTTGTTGCGCCAAATGTGAAAAAGATAAAATATTTATGATTCAATAATGGAAAAAGCAAAAAAAATGGTTTTAATTTCGTCGGAAAATCTCGAAAGACTGCAGCGACAACCGGAAATTTCTTCTAACGCACCGGCCGATAATTTATCGAATAAAATTACCAAGATATCGAATGTGGAAAATGATAATAATAATTCCGTACGGACCCCGGGAACTCCTTTGTCACGGCTCGATGCAGAGATGTGGCGTATTCTGAATCTCACGCCTCAGATCAGCGAGGACGAAAGATGGAAAATGTATAAGGAGGTACTTTAGCGTTATCTTCAGTTTGTTCGTGCTGCGAGAAAACTTCTACGCAAAGATGTGCACGCAAGCGGTGAACGCGATGGAGAGCAGGACGAAGACACAAAAGAGCAGGAGGATGATAACATTGATGATGACGATGAACTTATGGAAACGCAAACTTTAATTAGCAGCGACGGTAACATTAGCGCCGCTAGTAGTAGTTTTGAAAAAAAACGCACTCAATCAGCGGAAATGATGCAAAAAATACTTAATAGTGTTCCGAAAAGTTATCGTAGTAAAGCACGCTTGCTAATGAAACCTGCTCGATACTCCGTCATCTAAGATTAACTGGAATAGACAAGGGCTCGTAACTATAGACGGCGACATTGTGGAGGGTTCGAATATCGCGGAACTTATAAACGATGCGGTACGCGAGAGAAAAACGGTAGAAGCAACCGGAAGAAATCAGTTTGCTCGATTACTACGTGACATAGGTACGTCACCGCGTCTCATAGGAAATCAAAAGTTATTAAAAGCAGGCACGCGATCTCGCTATATTACTTTCCGCGTTACCTCGCGGATCCTCCACTCCGATCACACGTTCAAAATTGTACGGTCACAGGTTAGACGAAGCAAGTGAAATCGAAGGAGATACGCAATTTATATCCGCCGACAAGGAAGGTGACGACGACGGTGACGACGATAGAACATTAGCACGTAGCGTGGTTTCTCCGTCAAAGAGAAGAAGAAGTTTACTCGATTGGATAAATCTCAATTAATGGAATTCGAAAAATTGTATTACGACCCCGCGCATTATGCAGGCAACTCTGCGGTGGATAATTTATCGCGAGCCGTTAAACAGAATTTTACGCGTAACAAAGTCGTCGAGTGGCTTAAATCGCAGGATGCATACACGCTGCATCGTCCAGTACGACGAAAATTTCTTTGTTTACATTATAACGTAACAAATATCGATGATTTATGGGAAGCCGATTTGATCAATCCTCGTAATCTCAAGAGCTATAATGACGGTTATTCTTATTTACTAACGGTTATCGATGTGCTTAGTAAATTTGCTTGGGTAGAACCTTTACGTGACAAAACTGCCACCTGCGTAATAAAGGCCTTTCAGCAAATATTTTCGAGAAACGAGGGTCGATTACCTGTATACATTACAAACCGACAAAGGCAAAGAATTTTTGCCCGTCCTGTACAAAATTTCTTAAAAGAAAAAGACATCCGTTTTCGTGTAACGCGCAATCCCGATATTAAAGCGTCTATAGTGGAACAATTTAATAGAACACTCAAAGAGCGGTGGCGTTATTTTACGCATAAAAATACACGTCGTTACTTTGATATTTTACAAGATATTGTTCACGCTTACAATCATACTCGTCATTTCACCATCAAAATGCAACCCGCTGTCGTTACGCGAGAAAATGCTCGTACCGCGTGTGAAAATATGAAACGACAATGGGATAACAATAAAGAAAAGAAAAAGAAGCGTGGACGTAAACAAAAGGCTAAATATCGACGATTTCGTACGCGTCAATAGAGCAAAAGTAACTTTTGAGAAAGGATACGAGGCGAAGTGGAACGAGGAGATATTTCGAATTCATCGAGTTCTCGAATAGAGAAAACCCCGCGTATATGAATAATC